GCTGGACAACACCTCCCCGTGCCTTGTCGTGCGTGTCAGCCGGTCTTCTCTGTTAACCCCTCTGACTTCTCTCGCTGTACTATTTTCATGTCAGCCTAAATTTTCAAGATGTGAACAGTTACAGTTGTCAGCAGCTGTCTTACTGTCATTATCGTATGGTTAGTTACTCTGGCCGTCCATGTGATAATAACCACATGAAGATGCAGCAAAAGCACGGAAAAAATCCTTACGGTTATAAAGGTTAAAGAATGATATAAGACAGGTAGGGAGACACCTCGGGTATCGAAATCGTAACAAAAAAAATATTGCTAAATCCAAAGAGACTGTAGATACGTTTCTTGAGCCAGAACAAGAGACTTTGCTATTCTAACAATATCTGAATAATATCAGGTAAAATCACCCAAGCCAAGAAATTGTTATATCTTGTTTTATGTCATAGCAGTTTGTTAAAGCAAGTTCACTCATTCAACATTACCATATTGAATAATTATTATATTTTTTTATTTTTTTTTAATCTCTTATAGGAATAAGCACTGATTTTCTTCTTTAATGAAATCCTTTTTGAATAGTACTTTGTAGCTTTTGTCTTTGTTTTCCATGCTTTATATCAGTTTTGATCTTCAAAACAGGATTCTTTCCTTTCAAGTTTGGTTCTTCAAACAATTTCCTGAATTTGGCCTCACTTCCTGCAAGGAGGACAGTTTCATCAGCAAAATTTTTCACCACTGACGCGGATTCTCTTTCGGTTCAGTTGTGTTCTCTCAGATATTTCTTTCCGCTTAGCCGAAATTCTCTTAAAATGTTCACGCTTCTACTGACTTTTTTCTGTTCTTATCTGTACTATACGTTCTGGTTACGTATTTGTTCATGTGCTGATATAGGTCTGTGGAATTCCTTTATCCTGGAATGCTTCCATGGTGTTCCTGAATTCCAGCAAGAGAGAGAATCCTGTTAAATATTAGTTGACAGACAGTCGTAAGCGAGTGGACTCTCCAGTGTAAACATTTCTTTTCAGGTAACATTGGTATCCCCGTTCCGGCCATCAAAGATTCGAGAAAACGTCCGTGAAATCTTGGTGCCTGGGGCGAGCCTTCATAATTACATCCCCAACTTGTTCAAGGGCAAGACTACAGGACCCATGGCGCTCATGTCGGCCGCTCCTACACTTTGTTCGGAGGCGCTAGGGAAGGAGGAGGTGCAAGCTCTTTTGAAGGAGGAGTTTGACGTTGTCCTAATTAGCGTCTTCATTAGCCATTGTTTCCTGTCGATTGTTCATAAGATGCAGGTTAGTTTAGAAATGTATTATTTTTTAGCATGTTGTTCGTCTGTACACTTCGGACACACACACACACACTCACACACACACACACACATATACAGTCAGCCCCAAAAGTCTTGGCGTGAACATCCCGTGCTAAGATTTTTGCTTCAGAATAGAGTGATAGCTATCATTTTTGAGGACTTGTTTTTATTCCGTGTCCACAAACGTGCTCCAAATCTGCTTAACTTCCATGTTTCATATGTAGATATCCTTGGCAAAACGCAGAAACGCGTCAGACCTTTTATTAGATCGGGAAAAACGTGATGGACCTGGAGGGAACGTGCTTCTATTCGTGGTAGACCAGATCGAAATGTGCGCCTTTGAGCCTCTGGGACAGTCCCGCTTTTCCCATGACTTGTCGCGGATAAAGTGATAGACCATGAGAAAACTTAAAGAGACCTAACACACCTTGAATGAGGAAAAAATGGCCAAAATCCCGCGGCACACTACGGCTCGAACATGGTTCTCTGCTGTTTTTTTTTTTATTTTATTTTTTTTTTATTTTTTATTTATTTATTTATTTATTTATTTATTTATTTATTATTATTATTTTTTTTTTTTTTTTTTTTTTTTTTTTTTTTTTTTTTTTTTTTTTTTTACAGTGGCTTTTTTCGTGGATGCGATGTTGGAAGTCAAGGTCGTCACATAGGCGCCATTGTATTGCTCTGGTGGAGACGTTTTGAAGAAGTTATGGGTACATCCTCTTGAGTTCTTTTGCAATTATTCTTGGTTCTTTATCCACTTAACCTTGGAGAATCTTCACTGGTTCTCTTGGAACAGATACTTGGCCTCCCAGACCTTTTCTTGTGGAGTGGTGGACCTTCATCGCTTGTCTGCTTTTCTTAGCCCAGCTCTGCACTGCCGGTAATAATAGCGATCTCCCCATTAGCCTCCCCCTCCCCTCCCCAAAGTGTCATGATAGCTATGGCAGAAATCCATTCTTTTGTAAGCTCTTTGCCGCCTCCCATTTCTCCACAAAAGGCAAAATAAGGAATAATGGTCATGCTCATAAACTGCATAGGGCAACATAAATGACAAATAGGAATGAACTGCCTGTGAATGAGGGGGACACATTATCCGGTTCAAACAAGCAACAGCTGATTAAGCTCATCTCACACTTTCCCTCCTTGGCTCGTGCCAACAATTTCCTCGAATTTGAACCAGAGTTACAAGGAGTGC